GATCTCACTAAATTGCCTAGGGCCTTGCTAAATTTCTGAAGCTGGTCTTATGCTTATGAACCTCCTCTCTCAGCTTCCACAGTCACTGGGATTACAAATGTGCAACAGGAGGCTTGGATTTTTTTTTTTTTAATTGAATTGGAAACAACTCAACAAATTCCTTGTAATCTAAGGCATTGTACTCAACCATATCCTCTTTTCCAAGACAACCACTTGGATGAATAGAGTTTTACATTTTAATCAAATTTGCAAATGTCTAAATCTGGCAGGAATAATTAGCATGCTGAATGACAGAACTGAATGTCAATTTAGCTGCTGAAATTACCTGAAGCTAATATGATTAAAATATAATTAAAAATAAATGTATAATCCCATATTTCAATTTAGTAAATCACTGGCCCATAACCAGGAAAGTGGAAATATTATTAAGCAGTAGTTCATGTGAAAAAGATGTAGGTTTTAAGTAATTGAATGTTCAACCAGAAAGTTGACAGAAAAGTTAATGCAATTATTTTTCCCCCTCTGACAGAAAAGGTGTTTTTTAATTCAACAACTGGTTCATATAATTGCTTAGGTAACTGTGGACAGACAAGAGAAGATGGACTTTATTTCTTGGTCTAAAACTTGATGAACTTTTCCTTTTAGACCTTTTGGTTCAGATGCCCACCCTGGAACCAATATATAATGTTCARAGGAAGGAATATGGCTAATGTAAGAACATGGAGCTCTCCCACATTACTTACAGTTGGGGACTTGAAGAGGAGGAGGACATGGAGAATGGGGGATTTTTAGGGAAATTTCTAGAGAAAGAGAATTGTGATGAACTGATGATAGTATAGATGCCCACTATAGGGAGAAATTTTTAAACATGATTCCTGGAATTGAGCCTATGTATCCAGCGTTAACACAAATAGGGGATTCAGAAAGAAGAACTAGCAAGTACATAGCAATAACAACCTAGAAGAGGAGGTGTTTATTTTGGCTCACAGTTTCAGAGGTTCAGTACATGGTCAGCAGATTCCATTGCTCTGGGCCTGAATCAAAATAGCACACAGTCTATATTAGAATGACTATAGCAGCATACCTGTACCCTATTTTTTCTCTTGTAATAAACAATCTAAAAGTAATCTTCTCAAGGATATCATCAGTGCCCAGTGTCAAGAGCTATCTGTGGGCTATGTGTGGACTACACTGCCATTGTAGACTTTGAGTAGGAACATCTGATATTTGGGAACTTCTTGTGACAATCATACAGGGTAAAATCACCCAAATACATGTGAATTGCTGTTCAGCTCTGTCTGGTCCCCCATAGTACAGGAGATGGGGTGACTTTCTGCAGCCACATAGCCTCTCAGAGATGGGTGTGACTTGCCAAGATGCCTATCAACCTGCTAAYTGCAAGACACCATGAAGCAAAACTCCACCCCTGATATTCTATCCCTGCCTTGATACAGCCCCTTAAATAAGCCACAGTAGCCATTTCCTAATTGTTTAGCTCCAGCTTCTGTGTGGGCTGGACGTATCAGGTGTTCTGCTTCAAAACTATAATTCTGTCTCTGCTTCTTATTTCTTCACTAATTATTTCTGACTTTTCTTCTCCGGTGGCTTATACCCTTCTGGGCAGGAAGAAGGACCCATAGAGAGGCACTGACCGCCTCCCCATAGCCCAGACTRCTTCTAATGATCTACAATATATTTTATGGGATCTTAATAATCCTGGTCACAAAATGGTTGCTAGAACACCAGACATCACATCCATATTACTATAAAGAAAAGAGTTAGAAAGAAGCTAAAGTGAAAAAGTAAAGGACAATAGTGGCAGGCACTAAGATTCTGTCCYTTTTATAAAACTCTCTTGGAATATTTGAGTGGTATTTATATCTTGGMAAGACTCTAATTAGAAAATTAAAGAAAAGTAAGTCAACCACATTAAATTATATTGAATATTTAGTTTATTTATAGCTTTAAGAGCTCTTTTAGTGACCTATGTAAGCAGTTGCCTCTGACACTCTAAAAGTTTAAAAAATATAAATTCTAGGACAAAAATTAAAATTAAAATCTCAAACATTCCCCTTCTTTCTTAATCTTACTAACCCCATGACTCCCAACAGAATTTCTAAGTTGGGCAGAAGCATACCAAGGCAAACACATGTTTAGCAATACTTTGTTACTGATTAGCTTGAGTTTCTGTGACTATCTGAAAACAACAKAACTGAGTCATTTTGGTAGTAAATTTCTTGAGACTGTCTTTCAAAATTTGGGAATTGGTGAAAATAATACAATTTAGTAAAGATAATGGGAATTATGGGTATGTGTGTGGGTATGGGCATGTTTGTGTTAGAAAGCAGTAAAGCTACCTGAGGGATGGAATGGAGGCCTCCAGTTCTCTCTATAAGGAAGACTTATATTCTGCTATCTGACTTAAAATCAGTTATGTCCTATAGTACTTTGGGGGACAGAGGAAGGAGCATTCTGAGAATTGTGTGTTTTAAAATTGACGTGCATTTCCTATACCTCCCAAGTTTGTATAAGATTAGYCAGAATGTTTTGGCTATTGGGTCATGAAGAAAACAAATTATAAAGGARTGTTTCCATCAGTGTATCCATTCACTGGGGAAAAAAACCTGACAGATGAACACTCCTACCTTATACCGTATGTCTTACAAATTACTATGAACTTTTTTTTCGTCCCCAGTAGCTCTGTGATGCATGAAATTGCTCAGAGAGGGGACGCCTGCCTTTTATTCCACATTGACAAATATGAYTTAGCAATATACAGCTTGTTCAGAACCAGCATTTGAGAGTTAGCAAATGTTTGAAATGGTCTGTTCCTGCTTATCTTTTGCTAACTTAATGGGTAGTTGCAGAATCGGAATAATAACAAAGTGGCTTCTGACAGACAAATGGCTGAGAGGTTTCTTTTCATCAATGAGGTGCATTTATCTTCTGTAGGCCCTGCCAAACTCATCATAGGAGTCCAGAAAAGGCAAATGCCTCTCCTGAAGTGATAGTTCTTATGCTTCCTTTCCTTCTAACATGGCTTCCTGACAAATTACCATGTGGCTAAAAACTGCTGTTTTTTCATCCTTAGGTGAAGTTTATGCACTTCTCAATCCAGGCCATTTCCTTCCATGGACTTTTAGCTGTTTAGTCTTGGAGACGCATGCTAATCCAGGCAGCATTATRTTCAGGGCAAAAGTTGCCTGAGGTTGCTGTGGCTAAGACACACTGGTGTGCACAAGGAGCCCAGTGCAAGCCGCTGAACTTCCATCAGTGAAAATTTAGTGAGAATAACCACCATTGGCTTAAACTATTATCTGCTACTAGAAATTAAAATAATTATGGATACTTAAGGGACCAATTMGTTCTTAAAACAAGTGTTGAAAATGTTGACAATTTTTCTTATACCTTTGTGTCTAGACTTCACAGTAGTGGGTTATAGTTATGGGACAAAACTCCTGCATTTCAATATGTAAGCTTCATTTTTTACTAGTGTGTGAGGCAAGGAGAAAGGAAACAGGGGGGTATGGATTAAAGTGTGGATGTTTGCTCTGCCTAGTTTATAGGAGTTGTTGGAAGTATTGAATGTTAAAAATATAGTCAGCACCCTATAATGGTTGGATAATTATTTTAAAATTATTCATTTATTCATTATGGTTACTGGGAATTTAACCCAAGGGTGCTCTATCACTGAGCTACACCCCCCATMCCCCCACCCCCCCTTCTTTCTCAATTCTGAGATGGTATCATTAAGTTGTCCCAGCTGACTGAAAGCTCTGATCCTTCTGCTTCAGCCTCCTGAGTCACTAGAGTGACAGTCCTGGTGTGACTTTCTTTTTCTTTGGTACTGGGGATCCAACTCAGAGGCGCTTTACCACTAAGTTACATCTCCAGTGCCTCCCCTGCACTTTTAAAATTTTAATTCTTTTTTGGGGACAAGATCTCACTAAATTGATGCAGCTGGCCTTGAACTTGCAGTCTTGCTGTCTTGGCCTTCGGACCCACTGTATTACAGGCCAGGCCTGGTATTTCTTAATCAGGCACACTTCCCAGGTCAGGAGTTGCATGCTGGTTAAGTTAAACATCCACGTTGTTTTTTCCTATTTCTAAAATTATTAAGTGGACATTGGAGAAGCAAGGCCAAGCAAGATTTTATGTACAGATCTGTGATATGGACTTGAGTACAGAAAAATCTTTCCCTGGGATTCTCTTAAGGGCTTCCAACTACTTTTTCGACTTCCCACTCCTTAAGCAAGGAGTTCCCTAGGCCCCAGGGCTTTCAACTATATTTTTAACTTCCCACTCCTTAGGCAAGGAGTTCCTCAGGCCCCGCCCTCACCGCCCCCACACGTTCTAGGGGAGCTGGAGGACTGGGACCCGGCCACTTTTGCAAACATTCCATAGATCTGGAGGTAGGATCTATATTCTTCAAAACTTTTTTCTTTTGGAATATGTAAGGCAGGACGGTCAGGGTGGAGGTGAGGGTGTGTTTCTGCCATATTTCCTTCCCTGTTGGCTCTCAGTCTCCTATCTCTATTTTGCCTTCTCGCTGTGGCTGACAGCACACCCAGGGTTGTACGTGACAAGAAAGCCTCTCTTATCTGTCTGTTTGCTTCCACAGCTCTCTTGCACCTCCCCATGCTGAAATCTTTTCTGGTCCAACCAGCCTTTCAAGGCGCGGAGGATCTTTATCTCCGGGTCCCCAGCGAGCACTGGCGCTCACTGCAGGTGGCGATATGGGCCGAACTACAGCTCCCAGCATTCCCTGCTCCGCGTCCACCACCCGGGGCCCAAACCGGCAGTAGAGCTTCTCGGCTAGAGGTTCTGACCATTAGTGCTGGTCGCCGGTTCAGAAACCCGTCCAGCTAAGAGGCCAGTCTCCASGACGTGGGCACTGCCTAGTGCGACAGCGCGGAGCATGGCCTGGTACCTGGGCAGGCTGAGCGCTGGCCCCTGCTGGCGCGCGGCGCGAGGCGGCTGCGGAGAGCTGCGTGCTTGGTCCCAGCGCTGCGCAACCGGACGCATCTGCCAGCCCCCTGGCACGGCTGGCACGGTGCACAGCCGTGGACTTGCGCATGGCCCCTCGGCTAGAGGTGGCCCTTGGCCTGGGACCGGTCTGGCCGCAGCGCTAGCAGGGTTGGCAGGGCTGGCCACCGCCGCCTTCGGGCATGTGCACCGGGCCGAGATGGTGCCCAAGAGCTCCGGGGCGCGGAGTCCCTCGCCGGAGAGGCCACAGGAGGATGACCTGGCCCGACGCTGCAGCTGCTTTATGGCCTCGCCTGTGACTGACTTGGACGAGTTGCGGAAGAGGCCAGGCGACATGAAGACCAAAATGGAGCTGCTGATCCTGGAGACGCAGGCCCAGGTGTGCCAGGCACTGGCACAGGTAGATGGGGTCGCTAGCTTCTCTGTGGACCGATGGGAGAGGAAGGAAGGTGAGGTGTTCGGACCCTAGAGGGAGGCGGGGCTTGGRAAAAAGGCGGGACTCCAGGTTGCTGAAAGACCCTGCCTCAGGATTGGGATGGTGGTATAGGGGGTGCCCCAGAGGGGCCACTTGAGAGAGCCATCAACCCTCTGCTTGCGGTGTGGACCCGRATCTATTGTCAGTTTAGTACTGGGTATTTCAAAATGTTCTCAATTCCATAATGACATTTTTCAAGGAAATCTTAAGGGATATTTACATACAACAAGTTTGGATGTCCAAAGTTACTGAAGATCGGTTTTCCCTGAATTTCATCGGTTTCTCCAGGTACTTTTGTCCTTCGTCATTTAGAGATAGAGGAACTTGACTCCGTCATGCAAAATGCTTGTCAAACTCCTTCATCTGAGGGTCTCATTTGTCCARAATGTGGACACAATATCTTTATTTTACATTTATGTAGTGCTGAGGATCGAACTCAGTGCCTCGGGCATGCTTGGTGAGCCCTCTACCACTGAGCCACAACCCCAGGCTTCTTTTTTCTTTTCCACTAGGAATATTTGGTTTGTCAGTGGCTCTGCCAAATGCACCTATCGGATTTCCTGCTAGAAAAATATTTCTATTTAATGCCAACATGCTTAAGTATCAAACCCAGTTCTTATGGAGTCATATAATGGCGACCATTGCTGTTGCCTATACAGTGAAACCCCACATCTTGCTCATAAATGGGGGAATACAACAGCAACTATTTACCACTAGATTTTGAGCTGTGATACTGCTACAGCCACATTAAGTGAGGTTCTGTCAGGTTACTTAGTGTTTTCCATCTTGTAATGTTTTCAAGTGAAGGMCACTGAACCAGGTCACAGCCTCAAGTATTAGACTAGTTATGTGACCTTTGGTTAGTTATTTAACTCTTTTGTACCTGTTTCCTTAGGTATATATATTATGTATGTTTCCCTAATCTATGTATGCATATTATGAAATTTAAGTGAAGTGATGTCAAGTGTTGAAATATGTCAAATGTTTAGAATGTTGCCTGAAACAGGAACAAGACTTGGACAAATGGTTTTGGTCTATGGCCAGCTGTGTGATCTTGCTTTTGTTTATTTTTTCATAATGGGGATTGAACCCAGATGGTCTTTACCACTGAGCCACATCCCCAGTTCTTTTGATTTTTTAAATTTTTGAGACAGGGTCTCACTAAGTTGCTTAGGGCCTACTAATTTGCTGAAACTGGCCTTGAGCTTGTGATCCTTGTGCCTCAGCCTCCCAAGTTGCTGGGATTACAGGCCTATGCCACCATGCCTAGTGTCACCTTCAACACACTTTTTTGCCTCTCTAGATTTTAGTTTTCTCATTTAGAATGTACAGGGGTTGTATAGGTCATCTTTTGACCCAGCCCTAAAGTTCTTAAAATTAAAACAAGCCAAACATGAACCTTCATGAAACAGTGCCCTTATGGTGACCTCAGTGTCTTGAGAAAACAAAAACAAAATACAAAACTAATAGTAAGGATCTTATGCCTGAATATTAATGTGTGTCTTGCTCAATTTGAGGTTCTGAATTCCTTAAGTCTACTGTTATCTACTGTTTTTTAATCATCTGTAAACACAAAAGACTCATGGTAAACTGAGAAAAAAAAAACATTGAAACAATATAAAGCTTTTAGATTCAGTAATAATAGAACATCATTCAAGTATCCATTATTATTTTTTAACTTTAGCTTTCCCTCATATATCATAAGAGTTCCATTTTGAAGGGCAGTATTTGAAGGGAGAATATTCTAGTGATTTATTTTAGGTGATGTCATAAGAATGTAGAGGAAATATTTACTTTAAAGATATGAGTGAGATTCAGTATTTGACCATTATCAACAGCTCATGCCATAAAGCTAAATTAGTTATTTAATTTTATTGTAGATAAAAAATTATAGATATACCATTATAGAATATTTGGAAAATAGAGGAGGAAAATAACTACTCATCTCACCACCTACATGCAARGTCTCAGATTTGCAGACTTCTATACTCTCCCTATTTTCCATTTCTCTAAACAGGCGGTGGCGGCATCAGCTGTGTACTTCAAGATGGGCGGGTTTTTGAGAAGGCTGGGGTGAGCATTTCTGTCGTTCATGGGAATCTTTCCGAGGAAGCAGCAAAGCAAATGAGAAGCAGAGGAAAAGTTTTGAAGACTAAAGATGGTAAATCAGATCATCTTAACAGTGTTTCATAGTTTTGCAACACCCCCCCCCACCACATAAGTTTTATTTATAAAATAAATAGTGTTTTTGGAAAAAGCTCTGTGGGGGCATATGCTTGATAAGCATGTTCATAGTTACTTTGTGAAAATTATATTTTAGAAAAAAAAATTGAAAAGCAGCATTTGAAAATTGATTTAGAAATCACATTAGAGTTCATTTGTATCAGGCCAGATGATTGAATGCAGCTCAATGCATATTTTACTTTCCAGGTAAATTGCCATTTTCTGCTATGGGCGTGAGCTCTGTTATTCACCCTAAGAATCCTCATGCTCCCACTATCCATTTCAACTACAGATACTTTGAAGTAGAAGAAGCTGATGGTAAGTGAATCAGGAACTGTGAAAAGTATTATTGCACAAAATATATATTTTAAACCAGATAATAAAGCATCACATCTAAAGYAAGGAAGGATAAGTACAACCTTAACTAGGTTTCCAGGAAGTATATGAAAGCGTATTCCTCAGCAGATACAGTGGATTATGCACTAGATATGGAAAGTGAAAATGGTATTGATTGATTCTGACCTCCCCATATTTCCTCCAGCACAGAAAAAAATGATTTAACAAACTCAAACTTTGAAGTGTACACAGGATTCTTTACAAATATAAGTTCATTATATCTGAAGGAAAACTTCATATATGAAGTTAAGTTGAAATTGAGAATTTGCTTTTGGAGAAAATATTTCTCCATGCATAGCTTTGCTCGTCACCATGACATTATCAGTTGGTTTAAAATAGGATACATTTGATCAGGCCTCAGGTGCATGTAATTCCAGCCTATGACTATCAGCAGAGCCATCTGTTAAAACTTGTTGGAGCATCTGTGCAATGCCATGCCCACTCCTGCTCATGTGTCTACAGGTGATGGCATTTAAAGTTACTGCCTTAATTTTTCATTTTGAAGCTATTCAATTTGGTTCAGTCTTTTAATGTTTAAAACTTATTTACTGACTGGGAGTATARCTCAGTGGTATAGAGTGTGCTTAGAATACACCAAGACCCTATTCAATCTCCAGCACCAAAGAAACAAAAAAACAATTGGTAACTTGTATTGATAATCAATAGATCAAAGKAAGTTCATCAAACAATTATACTCAAATGGTAAGTTGCCACCTTAGCAAGTATTTTGTCCATTTCTGGGTGAAGGGAAGGGGTGACAGTGGTTTTTAATAGGGAGAGCTTCAGAATCTCCTGGGGAGCTTTTACAAAAGCACCTTGCTTTTGCTGAGGCTGGTTTTGAACTCACAATTCTCCTGCCTCAGGCTCCCGAGCCCCTAGGATTACCAATGTGCACCACAGCGCCCGGYTGTAAAATGGTTTTTGATTTTCACTATATTATGCTTAATAAATTAAGCTGATGAATTGAGTTTGCTAATGCAGTCAGTAGTGTGTGGAATCTCAGAGTCCACATTGAACCCAGTGTCTTGATCTGGTAGGTACCAAGCAGTGGTGGTTTGGTGGTGGATGTGACCTCACTCCAACATACTTGAACCAAGAGGATGCTGTTCATTTTCACAGAACTCTAAAGGAGGCTTGTGACCAGCATGGTCCAGATCTCTACCCCAAATTTAAAAAATGGTAGGTACAGATATTGCACTTTTATGACCCTAAAAGTATGTCTCATTCCTTTGGTGAGTCCTGAAGGCAGCTGTTATATCACTAAAAACCTTCTTCAGTTATGAAGATTTAACTATTTTCATATTTTGCTTACTAAAATAAGTGGAATCCCAATTTTAAGTGTTTTAAATAAATTATTTACTTAGCAATTTATATTTGAATGTCTATAATACATATTGTGTAGCAGCATCTCTTTTTGATCTCAAATGATTTAGAAAGATAGAATATAACCCTTACAGATATGAAGAGACTCAGAATATTTGTTACATAATCAAATAGAATCTTAGCATAAATTGTTTAGAATAAGAATAAAGAACCCAATTCTGTTTAGAGCTAATTGCCATTCTTAAAAAGAAAACCAAGAGGGGATTTTGTCTTTTTGTTTTGTTTTTATAGCTAGTAATTGTGGAAAATTATCACTTATTCAGAAGTCTGACATTTAGCTTTAAAATATTTTTTAACAAAAGATAAAGCTTTGGAATATTCTCTTCTTGATTTAACATTGCCGGTGAAAACTATAAGCTATGGATGCATGTAAATGAAAAGATACAGGTTTTCATTTTGTTTTTACTCTTTCCCACAACTCGGCATCCTTCCAGRAGTATTGGTGGGGTACTGTCATGATTTTTTATTTCTTCTACTGAGATGACTTTTAGGTAGTATTAGTTAGTAAGATATCCAGGGGCTGGGGATCTAGCTCAGTTGCTAGAGAGTTTCCCTTCCATGCCCAAGGCCCTGGGTTTAATCCCCAGCACCACCAAAAAAAAAAAAAAAAAAAAAAAAAAAAAAAAACCTAGGATCCAGGCTAGTTAACAAGAAATTTTTAGTGTAAGTGTTTAGTAAACCTCTTTGTTTTGTAATCTTATAAAGAGAAATTTTGAGGTGACTTGGGTTAAAAGCTGACTTAACACCCTTGCTCAGGATATACTTTTGAAAAGAACTATGTTATTCATATAAAGGAAAACACACCGCTGAGGTACTGAGTTGGTTATACCAGTGCATCAGTTCCAGTTTTTGCTTTCTTTTGAGTTTGATCTTTTGAGGCTATAAAAAGTGATCTTTTAAACAGCTTTTGTTTGTTGAAACAGCTTATTCTGTTGAGGGACCATTATTATACACAGATCATCAGAACTAWTGCAAGTTGTAAACTATTCTGCAAACTATTAGCATTTAGGAGATGACTTAGGAAGCTTGTTTGGGCAGATATAGAAGGCCAATCCCTCTCAGTTGTGCATGCTATAAAGTCATCAGATCTTATGGCTGAAAGAGATCATTGAGATTTTTTTACAGTTCCTTCCTTTGACTCTAGAGTTCAGGGTTACACGMTGGTTGGCATCATTGTTGGAAGACATCCATCCTCCTGCTTCCTGTAAAAGCAGCACTTATTTCAAGACAGGATTCATGTTGAACTCTGCTGCTCTTTTTACTAAAGTCCTTGAAGTTCTGTATTCTTCAGACATGATTCAGTTGCCTGATTACAGATAAGAGTATCTTTCTAAAGTCCTARTTTCATTTTCATGGTTAGAAAATAAGGACACTGTGCTGGCCTTAATTGAAGATAGGGCTCTGAAATAAGAGGCTCACATGGATTTTCATGTCTATCTTTTTTCTCCTTTGATCCCTGATTTGATCCTGCTGTGTTTTTCAGGTGTGATGATTATTTTTTTATAGCACACCGTGGAGAGCGCAGGGGCATTGGTGGTATYTTTTTTGATGATCTTGACTCTCCATCCAAGGAGGAGGTGTTTCGCTTTGTGCAGAGCTGTGCCCAGGCTGTGGTTCCTTCTTATATCCCCCTTGTGAAAAAGCACTGTGATGACTCATTCACCCCCCAGGAGAAGCTGTGGCAGCAACTTAGAAGAGGACGGTAAGTAACAGCAGAATAAATTGTCTCTGTACAGCTGGAAGAAATGGTGAAGCCTTAATTWCAGTGGATAGGGTGTCGGGTTGTCTTTGGCAGATGTTAATATGCAGTCTGATTTTATTTTATAACCAGATAAATGTTACAAATGAAACTGAAAATACTGTAAAATAGTATTCTAAAAATAAATAAAGTTTATTTGATTCATCTATCCATTAGAGACGTACAGTAGGTATGCAGTATTTGCTAAAGAAAATTTAGCTAATTTCTRTTAGACTTCTGGCAATGTCCTCCAGTCTTATTTCAAGATGTGGGCATTTCTTTGCTGATTTTTAAATTTGCAATCATACTTTTCATTCATCTTAAAAGTTATTTTAATATAAATAATTGYAGAAATTACTTACACTTAATGAGAACTTAGTAATTTTGGAGCCTTGCACACTAATGTGGGCAACACCTATCTTAGGTATTTTTCATCCAGTTTTCTCAACAGATCTGTGTAATAGGTGTAATATTTTACAGAATATAGAAAGGAAAGTTTCTTGTCTTTGCCCAAGATGACACAGCTGGTACATATAAGATACCAGATGTGGCACTGAATCATCTTGACTCTAAAACTCGTCTTTCTAGTACAAGAAAGAGAGAAAGTTGAAGCAGGTTTATAATGGTAAGCCATGATAGTCACTTTATTCATCCTGCTGAGTGCATTGAGCTTGAAAAGCTTGATTAGGTGGCCAAATGGGTCAGTTCCAAATATCCATCCTGCCAGCCCACATCAGTTTCTCATTATCCTCTTAAATGTATCTATACCACTAGTTCATGACATAGATTTTCTAATTTATGTTAATTGTCTCAGGCACACGAAGCTTTGATAACTAAGGAGGTAAAGCTTTATCAACTTGGAAAAATGAAAGTTTATTAAACTTTTCCTTTTAGAAATTTCTTAAACCATGCATCTGTTTGGGGACATCACAGACACCCCACCCCCACCCTGCCAAATTTCTCAAATATACCTTTGACACTCTTTCCTTCTTTCACTTGAAAGAAGTGGGCTTYCTATGGTCAGGCACTATAATGACCACAGAGGGACATAACATGGACCTGCTGAATAGAGGGTCATTTAATGGGGAAGACATATCTAAGAGGATAATTTAAAACTTTGTGGAAACTAAAGTATCTTAGTTTTGTACAAGATTTCATTTGCAGAGCTGGCAGATTTTGTGAGGAGTAATCAGATGAAGCTTTTAAAACTGCTTAGAGGAATAGTTTTAAAATAGGAATAGGTTTTTGTTCTTTTTATTTTTCTTTTTTACATTGAATGATGGCAGGTCATTCTGAAAATTCCATTGTATGTGTATCATTGCATGTCTGGTGTTTTTTTGTGTTAGAAGTGTGGATATTAGGATAGCACTAATAGATTCTTTTCTACAGTGTGTGGTGTGAGTGTTCTTCAAGACAGTCTCCTTCTACCACCCTTATCTCTGGGCCCTAAGATGGCAAGAGAATAGCTCTTTCCTCATAGGAGAGACTTATAGATGCTTGTGCTGTCTTCAGTCTCTCATATTTCATAATGCACTGTCTCCTTTACAGATTACTCCTCCTCCGCCCCATTTGTTCAAATATGAGTTTCCTTTTCAGTGGTCATTCTGGTTTCTTTTTGACTTGAGTCTCTCCCTTGGCCCCCTCTTCTAGTCTCGTGTCCTTAGTTGCTGCTATTATTTCCTCTGACTTTGAACTTTTGTCTCATAGTCACTTTTTTCTCACTAAAGACTTTCACCTTATTTTTGTTTTGGTAAAGGGAAGCAGGGTAAAACATAGGCATTAGTTAAATCAAAAAAGGTTGATTAAATCTCATAATTTATAGGCACCTCAGAGAGGATAAATACACGGAAAGGATCAAGGTCAGATCTAAGTGAAATCTTTTGGAAGTCAGGGAGGCTGATGTGAAGAAGGGGTGTTATTCACTCAAAGAAAGGAATATGTGTATCACATAGAGAATACATTTGGGGTACCCCTTATAAGGACCTTTGACATAGTTCTTCAAGTACATCAATATACGCTAGGGAATCAGYGTTCCATTAGGGATCATGTTTTTAGAATGAACGTTGAGTAAAAAGGTAGCTGAGAGATTAAATTCTTTTCCATGATCTATTTTTTTTTTTAAAGAGAGAGAGAGAGAGACAATTTTTTTAAATATTTATTTTTTAGTTTTCGGTAGACACATCATCTTTATTTTATTTTTATGTGGTGTTGAGGATCAAACTCAGCACCCCATGCATGCCAGGCAAGCAAGTTACCGCTTGAGCCATATCCCCAGCCCTCTTTTCCATGATCTTAAGAAAAAAGAAGATTTACTTAAATTATCTTTGAAATAGAAATAAGGGGGTATAAAATAGTCATTAGTATGTAAAGGTCAATCAGTGATAAGTGGAGAGAACTAGAAAAGGATGCATGGATAAAATAATTTAAATTTTACAAGTTTTCACACAAAATGATATCATTTTAAAAATGAATTACTGTGGGTTCTAAAGAATATTTTGCTATGAATGGGCTTAAAGATAATAACCAGTAGGATAAATGAGAATATCTAAGGAAATTTAAGACCAGCAGAGTAGTTTCTGAAGTAGTTGAAAAATGATCTGAAAGAGGGACTATTTATTTAAATTTTCACATTTATGGATCATTCTGACTTCCTTGGGTTGTAAAAATTATCCTTTTGAAATTGGGGAGAAGAAACTTTTTGACATCCCATGATGTTAAAGGCGGATAAATATTTTTAAGTTAGTTGGAATCCATATCTGTGTCTATGACAGTTAATGGAATCCTTGGACAAGTTAATATACTGAACCAAGTTTTAGTTGATGCCCATGATATTTTTCTTGAAAAACAACAACAACAACAAAAAAAACACAGCACTAAGACTCAAAACACTATATTATGGTTGTTGTTAATCTGCCAGAAGAATGAATTATACCAGTACTTAAAAATGTTATTACCCACTTTAAGAAAATATATAACAATTCAGTGGTTATACTTTTAGAATAATTTTATGTGTCTAGTTTTTAAGAAAGAGGAATATCTCTGGTTGTATACATAGTATATTCACACCAATTCATGTCTTCATACATGTACTTTGGATAATAATGATTATCACATTCAACCATAATTAATTATCCCAATACAAACAATTRTGCTCTATATATGTCATATAAGAATTGTTATGCATTTGCTGTTTATAAATTTAAAAATATATCTTAAAAATAAAATAAAAAAGAAAGAGGAACATCTAGAATATTATAATCATTAATAATATTACCTGTAGCTGTACTTGGTCTTCAGTTACATAAGTTCTACACTGTCTTAGTAGTGCTTATGAGTTCTAGGCAGTGAAATGAAATCATCAGCCCATGGGGAGGACTATAAGGAGCTGTGTTATCCTAAGAAGGGATGCCATTTTTTTCCTTAATTGTTGTGCCTTAAAGTTCCCAGCTTTGTATTCATTCTATTTATTTATGGGAAACATAACCTTCTTTTTTTGTAACTGCTCTGTGTTGGGGCAGAATGTGTATCCGATTGTTCATGGGGTAGAATGCCCTTTTATTTATGCTGGCCAGATGGGGAAAGCTCTTTGGGCTGTAAGCTGGTATTCTCTGTGCCAGTTCCAGCTGACAGAGAGAGAATCCCCCCCCCCGCCCCCGCCCCGACACACACACACACACACACACACACACACACACACGCACACACTTGAAGTATTTGTTACAGGCTTAATAGAAAGATATCATTCAGCAGGCACTTAATGTTGTTTGATGTGTTCATCTCAGGTATGTAGAATTTAATCTGCTGTATGATCGGGGCACAAAGTTTGGCCTCTTCACTCCAGGATCCAGGATTGAAAGCATCTTGATGTCTTTACCTCTAACTGCCCGGTAAGCAGATAACTCATATGTCTTCCCCAACCGACTAACCCTCCTAAAATATGAAAGTCAATGCTGACAGTATCTTACCTAAGACTTCACTGGTTTTGACTTTGCTGATGTTATAAGAAAATCATGGTTAGATAGTTAAGGTAAATCATATTGGATTTTATAGAATGAACGACAGAGCTTTGTGGACAAAGGTGAAAGAGAAGTAAGAGGTATTTGAGGGGATAAGTTTGACTATCCCTTCCTGTKTGATTTCCCACCCCCTCTGGGAAGAGTTTTGGGTAAGAATTAAGCTAACATCTGCCCACAGATCATCTGAGGTGCTACAATTTATGAAACCTTGGTTTACATGAAAGTGCATGTAGGCTCTGGGATATTAATATTAGCCCAAATATGCTCAAGAATGAAAAAAAAAACTATTTCTTTAGCTAGATATTTTTAAAAAATTAGTGGGTGGCAAGGCATTATTAAGCACAGTAAAGAAGAGAAGCAACACTTTTTTTTGTTAGTTTTTATTCTTTATTATTTTTTCTTTCTTTTTTTTACTTATTTTAAGAGTTGTATGTTACTTATTATTACTTTCAAAATTTTTTTGCTTCTGCTTTGATCATGTTTAGATGGGAGTACATGCATTCACCTTCGGAGAATTCCAAAGAAGCTGAAATTCTGGAAGTTCTGCGCCATCCGMGGGACTGGGTGCATTGATGCTAGCGGAAATGTGCTGGGGTTTGGAGGACACAGCTGTGTGCCCCCTCCACCAGCTGGCACTGTTAACCACTGTGTGGTCCTGAGCTCCCTGTGCCTTTGGCCCCAGTCTTCTCCAGTCTGGGCCTGATCTTGTCAGGTGGTGAAATATTTTTGATGCTGTCAGGTCATGGCAGATGGTTGGTCAGTTGATGCACATAATACTCATTTATACTTTTAGAATAATTTTATGTGTCTAGTTTAAAAAATTTAAATGGAGTTTCTAAGTATTAAGATAAGGGAATACAAATAGTATAATAACATACCAGGAAACTCCTCATTTTATTTTTGTTACATATATTTCATTAAAGTTTTAGGTTCTACCACAGAAGTCAGTCATGGGATGTGTTTTACCTTTATTAATTCAGTGAAGTTGAGACTTCTTGGTAACTTTGGAGTGAAACTTTGAAGGTTAAAGTTTTACTTTGTCATGCATCTTTTTCTAGAGACCACAATATTGCACAATATTCATTTTTATAATGACAGGTATTTAAAAGCACTTGAAATTTTCTCAGTGTCTGCATGTATTACAATTCAGTGGTTATCAATAGTTTTTAACTCGTAGTGATATTACTATTATTTAAGTAAGGGGCATCTAAGTCATAACTTTGACTTYTGTGGAATCATAATTTGTTAATGTTAGGCTTCTCTGCATTTTTTAATGCAAACATGATATCCCTGGATTCTGATACTTAAAATTTTTCTATTCCAGACATTTCTATGTGTTACAGATCAATCCAAGCATGTGAATTTAGAAARTGTTTTTCATTTGGAAAATGAAATGAAGAATATTTTCCTTCTGTAAAGCAAATATAACTGATGTTGACATGTAGGTATTTTGTACATGTATTTCTTTATAAAATGGTCTGATTGAAATTGTCCTGTTTTTCAAATTGGAGATTCTACAACTCTTATTTTTGCTCTTAAGAAAAAAAAATCACAAACTATAGTAATAATGAATGTATTATTTGATTAATAATATATTGAAGTTTGTAAGGAACAGTGTCTCATACATACTATTAAGCATTATCCTGGAATGTTGAATGTATGTGATTGTGTGTGGCTCTTTTAGGACTAGAAAATGTACAGACTCTTCARTTGTCTTACAGTGGACTCACTAATAAATTTTATTGTGACATAAGATTAATTTTGAAATATTTGTGTTCTTTATTTTGTTGGAATAGTTGATATAGGAAAACAAATATTTCTTGGTTTTAAAACCATAGTCCTCTTCCTTGGTGTTTATCCAAGAGAAATATAAATTTTGTATTCAATTTTCATAACAGTCCTTTTCATCAGAGCCAAAATTAGAGACAACTCAAATGGTCATCAGCAGGTGAATGGATAATTTGTGACAACACTGCTCAGTGATGACAGGAGTAGCTATCATTAAATGCAGCAATCTGTATGAACATCAAAAGCAGTGTGCCACAAGAAAGAAGACAGGCACAAGGGCACTTACTGTATGATAACGTCACATGAATACTTAGGAAAGTGATAATGTTAATGACAGAAAGCAGATCCATATTGACAAAGGCTGGAGACAGGGAATCGACTGTGAAGGGAGTGCAAGAGTATGTTGAGGTGACAGAAACGTTCCCTGTTTTAGTGGTGATGGTGATTTCTAGGCTGTATGCATTTATCAAAATTCATTGAACTTATACTTAACATCATGGAACTTTATTGTATATGGGAATAATATTTCAAGAAAGTAATCAGGAGAAAACAACATCATATAAGCATATAGGCACAAATGTTCAAATAAACCTCAGTTTGCCTTTTAAAAAATGAAAGTCATTTATTTTATTTTATTCCATATCATTTTATTTGGGGGAGGGCGGGTACCAGGGATTGAATCCAGAGACGATTAAACACTGAGCCACAACCCCAGCCCTTTTTGTTTT